ACCAGTGGCGGCTCGTCGGGGGAGGCAGGGGAGGCACAGCTTCCCCATTATTTTGAGGTGAAAATGGGAGGAGGACGATTTAATGTTAATAAAATTCACAATTCATTTCAGTTCATGTCTCAGAATGTGTATTTTTTGTTTGTAATTTCACATACCATAACGTGAAAGCGCCGCTTTTCTATCGCGAATGTGCCGAATCTGCTGATGTAATTACAACCGCTAGGATATAGAGAAGGGTAGGGGGAGGCCGGGGAAGAGATGAGCTCTCGTGCCTCCGTTGGTAAAAAAAAGTAGCCAATCAGCATCGAGTGTTCACTTTCAGCACTGAGGAGTGTTGAGAAAAATCTAATACATTTATCTCAGATGAGGAAAACTAAATAGATCTTTAATCAAGTTTTATAAATAATATGTAACTACATTTATATCAGTGTTGCAGGGCCATAACCACACTGAGTATTCAGAATATGATGTGGTCGATCATTAAAGTTATTTCTAAGACTTTTACATTTTGTCCCCGTGATGCGGTTACATCCTTGATCTGATGCATGGCGCAAAAAAAAAAAAAAAATGTCCCCCCCTCCCCTTTGGCTCCTGCCAAAAAAAGTTCTCTAGAAAGTTGTTTTACTAGTTAAAACGTTGAAAATATACACGCATTCATTTGAAAGTCATAATCGCCTTACTCCTTATATTACCTGTCGGACGTTAGAAAAACTCGTTTTAACTCGGAAACGAGCACTCTCTTGCGTGGAGGCCAAGAGATCTTTTAAACTTTGTTTGCGTGTTGAAGTTTGTAGATTTTAAAGGGGCAACGCATATTAATCTGGTCCGAGTCCGAGCGAATAGAACACTTTGTACCAAAATCATATTTCTTATCCAGTTCAAGTGAAATAAGAAAAATAAATAAATAAATAAAATCTAAATTGAATACTTATAGCGAAGAAAATGTTTATTGGTGTACGTTTGAACGACTTTTCTTCAATAAAAAATAATAAATAATTAAATATAAAAGTTGACCCCACCAAAATTATAAAATTAATTTACAGGGAATCTTTAAAAAGTAACCTTTTCCTCTTTTTTTTTAACATAAAAACTGAGTGTTGCACTTTAAACCTGGCCTACAATATTGTGCGTATTATAATATATTTGTATACTGTATAATGCTTACATTGTAAAGCCAGTAAAATAAGAATTATTGATGTACAGAATTATTTACTTTTTAAATATGACATATTACATTAAAATATTACATTTACATAATTTATATTAATGTGTGCAATACAATAAAACGTTTAGCTAAACTTTAGTTGCGCTGATGTTTTGCTTTGTGAGGCTACCTTCCTGTTGCTTATTAAATGTTACATTTGAACAGGTACTAAAAGAAATATTCACAGGCACTGGTAGATACACTTGTTTTTCTTCTGATTCGTAACATATTCCACATTCATAAACTTCAAAATGTGGCTCGTTTTGCCTGAGTTGTCGTTGCCCCTTTAAGACGAAGGGTGCCTTGAAACCGTCGAGTTCCATGTTTGTATGTTGAAATTGAGAGCAGAGCCGAACTCCATGTTGTGAAAAGTTATCATCTAGGAACTTAACTTTTTATAATTATTTTTATTTTTGTCGTCTAACTTATAAAAGCATAGATATCACATTCAGCCTCGTATGGTGTCGCATTATGAATGTTCTTAAGCGGTAAAAGTCTTGGATTTTTGGGGGCATTTGCAGTTAGTTTTTTTCTTCATTTTTTTTCCAATTCAATTGTAGCCAACGGAAATATTTTAATACGGAAGCCCATTTTAAGTTGCGTTTTTACTGGCTTTACGGATCTCATGGACCACCCGTCCTCGTCGATCATAACGCAAGTGAGCAGGGATGAAGAATCCAGTGCTCCTTTACGGGACAGAGGTGAGTTGAGAGAAAGTTTGGAGTCGGCATGTGTCAAACTGATGAATGCTTGGAGCGCGGCGGCCGCTTCATACAAAGTTTAATTCCGTCAAAATGCCGCATCGACTCGACTTCATGGAAAACTGTGTTCAACCACACATTTCCGCACATCAAAACACTACAAAAACACGTGATCACCACTTTCTAAAGGCTGGTGACCGTTGATGCGTCTTGAGGATCAGGATCAAGTCCATTCATTATAATAATACAGTGCAGACCTATCACATGACTCACAGTTAGCTTCATTTGCATGCCATAACCTCGAGTTTAATTGGAAAACAACTTTTATTTTTTTCTGTAAGTGAAGGCTTTGAAGTGGAGGGGGGCGTGTCCATGATGACACTCTTCACTGACGTTTGAGGGAAGGCTGTTCTTGTTTACTTTGTAGTGTGTGCTCTTGTACATCGTCTAACTTGTCATTTTATGCTTATGTGTGCACGTAACTCATAACGAATGACTCCGAGTCCCTCCTCAGGTGACGGGTTATCATGAGATAAGATTGCATCTTATAATCATTGTTTGGTAATGGCAGACTGCTAGCCTCCCTTGTCTTATCTCATTCTTTTTATTGTATTCATCTGGTTAAGTTTTGTAGTCCGTATTAATTTGGAAAAGATTCATTAAATGATTAAGAAAGGACGTGTAAAATGGAAATGCTTCAACAGTTAAATTTTGGACACAACTATGCTTTATTGATGCTGTTTTTTACATTTTGCATTAAAGTCATCAAAATTATGAAATGACAAAAGGGGAAGTGGTGGAATTTTGTAATTCTAACTTCAAGCATTTAAGACTTTAGTTGACAAGTTTTTAAAGGGGTCATATGATGCTGCTAAAAAGAACATTATTTTGTGTATTTGGTGTAATGAAATGTGTTTATGCAGTTTAAGGTTCAAAAAACTGTATTATATAATATAAAAAATATTATTTTCCACATACTGTACATTATTGTTTCTCCTCTATGCCCCGCCTTCTGAAACGCGTCGATTTTTACAAAACTAATCGGTCTGAAAAGCGAGGTGTGCTGTGATTGGCCAACTATCCAGTGCGTTGTGATTGGCCGAATACCTCAAGCGTGTGACGGAAATGTTACGTCCCTTACCATATTGTGATGCCTGCGGCAACCACATGTGACGACCCGCTGGACTCCGCTTCGTCCACAGTGAAAGCCGATCCGGCGCGAAGTTGATGTATTTCCTCAGCGACCAGCACGGATCAGCTCCAGGCATGACAAAGCGATATCGTCCTCTTTTGGAAGGCCAAACAAAGTAGTTTCGCTTTCACAACGAAACACACAGCGCCTTCACGACATGGCGGCGGTGGCAACAATACTACAGCGAGAATAAAAGTTACGCCTTCTTTCTTTGCGTGAACATTTGGGCAGCGTTATGCAAATCTTCCCACATAGTGACGTAGATATGTGGGGGCATGTTAGAACGAGCCGTTTTAGGTAGGCGTGGCTGACTCTTAACTTTTATAAAGAATATCTCTTTGGATTTGAGACTTTAGTCTTTGCAACTTTACAGATCTTCTTTATGCACCAAGAGCTTGTAACACTCCAAAGAGAAAGGAAAAATTGAAATCGCATCATATGACCCCTGTAAACTATAGCCATCTGTGTTAAAGGGAAGTTATCTTTTGTTTAACCCACAACATCTGGTCCTGAAT